ATGTGCCCACACATTTTTTTTATCTTCAAATTAAGCACTGGTTAAATCCTGGCAGACAAACTGCATCTCTGCAGCCTGCAGAGACCAAGTATAAAAGGTTGCATTCATTAAGCGTTTCACAGCACATCTTTCTAGTTAAGGACACGTACACACATGTCGGCAAACACCCTGCAGATCGCCCTCAATCTCGTACACTAGAAGCACCACTGACACAGACATACTAGGCCATGTTTCCGTCAATAGCCTCCCTGTTAAATGTCTTTCTGTCTGCCGCTGAGCGTTCACATGGCTGTATCAAATCAGATGTGTATGACTGTCGCTTTGATTTTTCCACTCATCTGTACTTGCTAGCAGCATCATGCTCGCTACCATCTGCAGTGCCAAATTCCTGTCTCTATCTGCCCATGCCTCATTTAGTCTATCTGCCTGTTGGCCTGTTGGTCGATCTGTGTGTTGGTCAGCTGTTCTTTCTGTTTGTCGGACACGCTGAGGTTGACTTATCGCTGGCTGTTCTCTCGGCAGGCACACCCGAAACATACTGTATCTGTCCTGGTTTGATACCTAATTCCAACCTATTTGGAAAATTTGATTGTGTTCTAAAGGCAGGGAGAACGTGTGTGTGTGTGTGCGTGTGTGTGTGTGTGTGTGTGTGTGTGTGTGTGTGTGTGTGTGAAAGGGGGGGCGAGGGAGAGAGAGAGAGACAGAGAGAGGTAACAGTCAGCTTTGTGGCCTGATTTAAGCTGATTGGATTCTGTGTGTGTGGTGTATGTGTGTGTGTTTATTGAGTTTTCATGTAAGCATGACAGCTTATCCAACTGACTGCTGGGGGTACACTCAGTGTCCTAAACAGGGTCAGATGTGCCTTAGGTCACTGATATATCAACTTGATACATGCCATGAACACACATCCTAGAAGTCAACACTCAGAAGAAAAAATACTTACTGACTTGCTTTCATTACTTTTTACATCAAAATGCCAATAGTTTGTTGAAATCCCATTCATCATGTCTGTCATTTGAGGAACAGTAATGAGAATGTAGGGGTCGTAACAGCATGTACAGTATAATTACTGTGCTGTAATCATACACCAGGACATAAACATACCTGGGTTTGACCTACATATTGCGAGTCATTACATTTCTCAGTATTCAGGCTGTGTTTGGTTGAAAACTGGACTCCTTCACCATGACTCGATCTGTTTTTGTCCGTAACTGTTTGATTTATTATGATTCTAGTTAATCAAATTTCAACATGTGCACTTTGTGCAGTTTTATTGCATTCAAAGGCTGAGTTGAAACAAAACATTAGTTTGCAAAACGATCCACACAGGCCTCTGAAACATGCTGAAAAAAGCTATTCAGAGTCTACACAACCAGTGTCTTCAGGTTGTGTTTATCAAATTTCCTTTGAATTCCTAAAGGCCCATTTTGAGATATTTGTTTACTTTGTATTTTCACCACAGGCTCAGGTTTAATCTTCTGTGCTGGCAAGCATCCAGCTTGCTGAAGTACCTTTATGCAAAAACACTGAACCAGCTTCTGGGCTGCAATTCTGTAGCTGACCTTGGCCTCTAACTTCCTTGTTGAAGGGGGCCACAGAAAGCAGAAGCACAATTATTACATGAATAATGTGACTGAACCAGAAGAATACAGTATACAGTCTTTTTTTGTGGATGCTGTTTAGTTTTCCAATATCGTCTTCAGAATTATAATAAAGCCTGTTCTTTCAGAGTGTTGTGGTATATCAATGATTCCAGGAGTTTTAACAGCAAAAAGGATCTGTATTGGAAGTTCTGCACAGCCAGACAACTACAACTTGCCTGTACATTAATCACACAATTAATATGCAGTAAGTGTAATTTGTCACAACTTCAAAAGTAGTTCCTTTGTTTCCCACGATAACAAGCCATCGTTGCGTAAACTCCCCTATAAACTGCTGATGAGCGAAAGGGGAAATGGTGTGCATGCTGCTCTTAAGATCCGAGCCTGGAATGGAACACCCTTCTTTGTTTTACATGCACTTTGTCAAGCCGTCTGCTATATTAGGATGTTGACAGCTGTATCAGGATGTGTTTCCAGTGGATGTGTTGCCTAACCTGCATTGTGTCTCTGAGTGCGTGCATATCCCCAAGGTCACGGGGCATTACAAAGTAAATGGTGAATGTATAAGCACACATTGTAGTTACAGACACAAACACACTGTCTTTCTCTTTATCTTTCACTGCTACACACAAACACACATGCTACATGGAAACATGTGTCCTGGATGCGTAGCAAATTACTCCAAGCCCCGTCAGGACCCTTGACCTTTCTCTGTTGGGTCTCTGTGCAGCCTGTGTGTAATATGTGTGTGTTCATGCCATAATGCCATAAGGACTCAATAAAACACATACACTCACGCAAAATCTGAACCACACACAAATGGCCCTCATAAAAAATTTTAAAGAACAAGGAAGGCATCAAGTAAAGACAAGTAAAGAGGAGAGTTCTTCTAATGATGTCATTCTATTCTTCCCCTCTGTGGCGTCATTAATAAGGAGGGAGAGGTGGTGAGAGACAGATGTGTAGAAAAGAGGAGGTGAAATGTAAGAAGAGAAAAATGGGGGTAGCCTCGAGGTTAGAGATGCATTTTTGTGATATAAGATCACAAAACCCAAACCACCTACAGTTAATCACTAAGTAACACTGTGCAGCAGTGAAACGCCATCTTCTCCGCTGAAACTTGAGCTGCTGACCCTAGAAAACTAGCTTATAACCACACAGTGAAGTATAGACTCATGCAAAAGTAATCTCTCTATATAATCACTTATAACCCACCAGAAATGTGTTTTTATCTTTTCTTTTTTTTTTCTTGCAGCAAGACAGTGCACTCCGCCAGCTTGCAAAAACTGTTGTGATACGTACTCTACTGCATGTGCTGCATACAGAGCTGAGAGTATTGTAAAGAAAAGTCAGGGCTCCTCTACTACACAAACTATATGATGATAGCATTTCTGAATTATCCCAAGCCCCTGTTTTCTGCATTATGTTCCTTAAAAGAAAAGCTGCTGCTGATACATATTGGACCAAATAAATGCCATATGTATATATATATATCTGTAAGAATACAACATCGGCCCACCGACATGTTGTTTGGGATATACATACAAGCAGCGTACGTACATGCTAAGTTCTGCAATCATCCAATTTTACGTTTTAATAAAAATAACCTTTGAGGCTTGTAGTGCTGGGTTTGAGCCGTCACACACACAACCTGCTGATTGCCATGCCATGTCCAAACTAACAGTACATTGATCGTCAGAGGTTCAGTGACAGTGGAAGTTTTACTAATTTGTACATTTTATGGTATGTAACTGTAAATTCACTGCTGCAAACTTGCAAATGCATACTTGCATCCTGCACAGTTCCGTCTGCTTGCATTCTCCGTTTTGCAGGTCTGTGCTTGGCCTACAACCCTGTAAGTTGCTCACTATAATGAGCCAGTGTTTGGGTGGTCAGTTACAAGCAGGTCTTGAGTCGCTCCCTTATGTGACGCTGCCTTGTGGCACAGTGGGCTGTATGTGTTCTGTGGTCAGGGGGTGTGCACTGCTGGTGGCATCGAGCCCAGAGGAGGAGCCAAGATTTGAATGTTGTGTTTACAAACAGCAACAATTCCACAAAAGTATACCTTTATGTATGTTTTTTTTTTTTCCCCCATATGTAAAGGTATGGACATGTGTGCTGATTGGTGATGGACTTCTTCAACTGTCACTGGATTAAAGGTAATTGTAATTCTATTACACTGAGTTACAACTGTGGATGAGAACAGACATGTGATTCCAGCATGGAAGAGGTTGCCAGCCAGTTTAATTACTATTAGCAAAATGTCCAGATGAATGAAAGCTAGTCGAGCATTCCATCACTATGGATTTATCTCTTTGCCCTGGGCTGCAGTTGTCTGACAGGAGTAAAGTGACACATAACACATAAAGGGAAATTATACATTGATTGCACGGCAAAAAAGAGGAACCCCTTTGATAAATCACTTCTACATTTTTCTGACATACCATGCAGTTTGTACCAGTGTTTGATGTTGATTAAAGTCTATAATAACATCTTCCTGTGAAGCCTAATGCAACAGAAACATCCCGAATGGGGAATTTATGGCTCTACCATGCATCTGGGGTCATTAACAAGACTGGTCAAACTGCTGTTAGGCAAACAAATGCCATCATCTCATCAGTACATTATGTTTTGGCCACAGACGTCTACAAATTGAACCCAAATTATGACGGGAAAAAAAGCAGGTAGCCACATTCTCACATACATATTATATGTCTAGATGACAATACACATGTTCAGAGATGGTGAGAGCGATTTCTGCGTTTATGAAGAGCTTGTGTTTGCATGCACTCGTAAAAAATTAAATTACACAGGCGTACACAGACCTGTCAGATAATACCAGCTCATGTCAAAAAATGATTGAGCACAATGGTGAGTTCAGGATGAAAATATGTGGAACCCAAGAATATCGCAACAAGAAAACTTTTAGGCCGAACTGCAACCTGAAAAAAGAGTCCCTATTAAATGATTCTAACTTTTTTATATGTTAAATTATATATGTAATAGGCTCATGTTAAATACTGCAAGCAACTCACTACACTTAAACTACAGACTTGATGAAAAGCTTCCAGCTGACATAGGGTACATTAAAAGTTGTAGAGGCCAAATACTTTCCCAAGACCTGGAAATAAGTAACTAACAACAAGGTCAATATATGAACTGAAGCTGAGGCTACTTAAACTTTTTGCAGTGAATGTCAACAAAGTGAAGCTGGAGGTGTGCTTCATTTTGCTGCATGACCATCCAATACTTTGTGGATAAACGATTTAACCTACTAAATGCAATTGGGGTCAGTTCAGTTAGTGAACTCAAAACTTGCCTCACTCAGTTGTCTCTTAGTCTAAAAACTTGTACTGTCATTGCGCTCCTGGTGTGTGTTTGCTCAGATGTGCTTCCTACCCTGTTATTCCTGTCAGCCTCCTTCACCTCGTCCTCCTTGACACCGTGTCGTATCATTATCCGCACGATGGCCGCGTTGTTGGTGCAGCACGCCTGGAAAAAAGACAGCGGCTCCGGGCTCTCCGGGGACGGAGTGCGCTCCGAGTCCGCGAACACATCATCCGGCGGATAGAAGGAATCGTCCGACGCGATGCTCCGACAATCTTCCAAGTCCTCAAAGTCAACTTCCTCGAATTCGTCGCTGTCGTCCTCGCCTCCATCGTCCTCTTCATCGTCCTCCTCGCACGACCCCAGGTAGTCCTCGTCCTCAGAGTTGGACAGCGGCTCCTCGGTTATGGTCGGGTGAACTTGCCCGATGCATCCACTGACTTTTTGCCTCTGCTGGAGCTGTTTGATGCGGACCGACGCGCCTCCTCCATCCCTGTCGTCCGTGATCAGCACCATCTAACCCCGAGCCTTGGGCACCGTCCGCGGGGTGGAGTGCAGCCTGGCGCACGGGGCGCGGGCATGGGACTGGCTGTCTCTGAGCGACAACAATCCAACTATCGTGCCGAAAACAAAACAAAACCAAAAAAAGAAAAAGTCGTCTGCGAGACCCTAAATCACACAAACTCCGGTTGTAAATCTGCTGTATCATATACAGTAGCTGAACGTGTTGCGCGTTTAGTTTGCCTTGAACCGTCGGTCATCTTTGGAGAGTTGTGGATGTTGTGCGTATTGGAGCCGTGAACGTCCCACCAAGTTGCTTTCGCCTGTCAGTCAAAACGAAACCACGCTGAGGTGTACAGTTATCCGGTTCGAGAGCACATGGATGACAAATAAGTGTTGGGAGTTTTGAAAAACAGTGTTGCTACAGCAGAAAGTAACACGACGGTTCCGTGTAGGGCGGAGAGAGACAGCAGCCTGTTAACCTACAGTCGCTGCGTTAATCCGATTAGGCGACTGGGACCTCTCTCTCTCTTTCTCTTTCTCTCTCTCTCTCTCTTTCTCTCTCTCTCTCTCTCTCTCTGTGTGTGTGTGTGTGTGTGTGTGTGTGTGTGTGTGCGCGCGCGCGCTAATGAGACATGAAATCTGTTGGCAACATTAATATTCCTAGAATATTCACAATGTTCCTGGAATTTTCATGTGGAGATTTATACTATAATTGTGATTTGTTTGTATGTGTGTGTTTGGTATTGAATTGGAATTCAGTGGGATAGTTGCAGTATTTCCTGGAAACAAGCAATTATAATCATAACAATAATAGTAATAAGGTGCATTTTTCTAGCAACCACAGTTTAATGCACACAATAAAATGTACATTCATCTATAGTAAAACAAGATTTTTTTCAAATGAAAACATTAAAATTAATATACATTCTGCTGAGTTCATTTGCAATGTCCCCCTTTTCACTGTTTTCAGTCAGAGGTGAACTCAAGCATTACTGACAACAAAAAAGTCCCCATGTTCTTTTTTTATGCTTTTTTAAAATTACATCCCCTTCTGTGTATGAATTTTTGGTCAACATGTGAGTCATGAAAAAACAACCTTTAAGTTGGGAAAACCCAGCATCTAAGTGCCAGTCTATAAGGAGTCATTTGATTTGCATGTCTCCAAAGCATCAGTCTACTGTGAAGCGATGGGCGCCGACCGAGGCAGACAAAGTTCAGATGAGGTGATTGTCAGTGCTAACATGGTTGTGGCACATGGGTTGTTTCTTCCATGATTATATTTAGCATGATTCTCAGTTTCTTGGCCACCAGCCAGTCCAGATAATAGAGACATTGACTGGGATTCATTACCTGGCACTGATCTATGGGGAGAGTTGGACTGCATATATGCTTTTGTGTAGCCATGTACACTCATGTAGGAAAAGAAAAAAGAACATATATATATATGTGTGTGTGTGTGTGTGTGTATGTTTGTTTTATCAATGCTCCTGCTTGAAAATACAAGTTTTGAAAAGCAAATCCACTGAGTCGTTGTCACTAAAATGAATCAGATACATATCCTGTGTACGATAAGGTCAGTAAAATATCTTTTACCTGTTTGTTCTTGGTTTTGGTTAAAGTCTGTGGTGCTCGAATATTACTATATTCTGTCACTGACAGGCCACGACAAGATTTACAGAGATGTTCCTGTTTTTATCTCAGTAATTAATAAGATCAGTTTGCTGACATCACCTGCTGTGGAAAAAAACAAGTGCATAACAGTCCCAGTGTGTACCCATTATTGTTATACCTTCATCTATATCCAGCTGAGAGCTCTGCTCTCCTGTGGCTCTTCCATCGCTATGGTATCAGTCTGCTGCTGTGTGAGTGACAGTCACTGTTAGCACTTTCAGAGCTATAGAGACGGGTGACAAATTTAAAGAAAAACCTGACCCTTTGACCCCGACAGTGAGGAGATCCAGTGGCTCTGTTATGGTGGTCTGTATGATCTGGGACCACTTGTCCACTAGAGGGAAAAGAGTGGCTGTAAATCAATACAAAGTTGTTCTAAGTGATTGCTTTCATCCTCTGATGGAATATTTCTATCCTGTTGGGAGCGGTCTTTTCAAGGACAACAATTCCCCCATCCATAGGGGACGAGAGGTCACTGAAGGGTTTAATGATAATTATGTGAATCATATGGTTTGGCCTTAACAGTCACCAGATCTGAACACAGTTGAATGCATGTGGAAGATTTTGGATCAACGTGTGAGACAAATTTCACCATCTTATCTTTTGACAGACTGGTATTCCATCCCTCCAGTAGAGTTCCAGAAACTTGAAAAATCAATGCCAAGGCACACTGGAGCTGTTCTGGTGGCACATGGTGACCCGACACCTTACTAACATACTTTATGTTGTCTCTCCTTTAATTTTTCAGCCGTTTGTCAATCTATTAAGCAAAACACTCTGGTCAAGTTACACTGGAAGATAATCTAGTTTTAGATTTCTGGTGACTCTGAAAGATGTTATCACCTTTTTTTAAGATATAAAAACCTCATGAACCTGGCTTCAGCTCACAGATTCACAAATGTATCTACCAACTTGTAGATTTTGTGTCATGTTAAATTTCCAATGTGGTGATTCAGTGGGAGAGAGCTAAAAGCAACATTGTAAATACAAACATGTCCTTGCAAGTGAAATAAAAATGCAAAGAGGTGCTTCTCAGACTCAAAAAGATTTTTTTTCTGCTCAGATGTGTAAATTTTTGTATATATTTGTTATTTTATTTTTTGTTGTTATTATTTATATTATTTCTTTTTTTTTTCTTTCTATAGTTATTTGACTTTATTTTTTATTTTCCTATTTCTATTGTCCCTTGCTCATTCCGAGGGCGACACCAACAGCCGAAACCAAATTCCTTGTGTGTTGTGTACGTATTTGGTCATTAAAGCTGATTCTGATTCTGAAGATTCAGACTACAGCAAGAAGGAAGAATCCTGCCTGATGTTAAAACTGACAATACTCCACAGGTCTGTGTCATCATAAATAAAGATTTGGAAAACAGTTATATTTTACTTCTCTTTTCACTTGTTTCACCTAAAATATTTCCAAATACCCAACTGACTCTCATCCATATAAATGGGGCAGACAACATAACATTCAGTGTGACACAGTGTAATTCAAGGAAAACATAAATTAACTATAAAGCTGAATCCACACATCTCCAAAAGAACTACAACTGAACATTTAGAACTGTCATAAATGAGGATTTATTGTTGCATCAGACCACAAAATACAACTTTTATGCACCTGAGAGTGCCTAATACTCAAAGAAACCTATGATTTAATACAAGATGCTGAATAAATTTTATGGATTCACTCTGGAAATATGATTTAAAATTTGCTACGCTTTATAAGAAGGAAAACAAAAAAATTCAATTGCACTTTTTATCGACAAAGAGGTGTCTGTAATTACCCACACAGTATGCAGCCCTATCCTTGATCTATGGCACTAATGCACCATTTAATCAAAGTTGTGTTTTCTCCCGGTTTTACATTCTGATCCATTCACCAGCAGTTCTAGTTGAAACGCTCAGTAGGACAAAGCTGCCATGAAAGCAACACTTTGCTTCCAGTAAAAAGGAAATTGGCTAATATTGCTTGGCAATAAAGTGGTCTTTCAGGGGATAAAACTGAATAACTGGAGTCCATTAAATTGCAGGGATTCATCAATAGTCGAGATGTCTCAATATCGCAAGCTGTTACACAAACACTGCAGGTAGTGTGGAAAAGCACTTTTTAAAAAAAAGCATTGACTTTTTTATTACTCAGTATTAGTCCCTGTCTCATCAGTGTGTGTTTTCTATCATGCTATATGATATTTAGACAGCTGTGTTATGAATTCAAATAAACTGCTAATGCTCACTGTGGTTTATTTGACTTCCCATGTAGGGCCAGTGGGTCCTATTTAGCTCTGGCAAAAATGGAAGGATATGATTAATACTGATTAAGAAGACTAGCGGATAGAGCAGGATAAGAACACTTCAGCTCTTTCAAAGGTTCGTTTTAGTACAGAGGCCAGAGTCGACATGACAGCTGTTGGGAAATGTATGTTTCAGTCAAAGATGCTTTGGAGTGGCAGATGTCTGCTGATATGATCCCCGACTCTCTTCCCATATGTCCCACAAGCTTGACCATGCTTGTATTGCAAAAACACTGCATGTTTGTATCATAGAGTACTGCAGCGTGGTCATGTTTGAAATCAGATTTGTTATGTTCACTTTGACGTAGATATAATCATATGCTGTAGCACGCACTTGTAGTCATGTGAGGCTGTAAGTAGCACATTAGCAGCGCCATCGCTTGCATAGCCAATTGCATTAGCTCAACCTGGGCTCAGAAGGAAAAATCTAAATCCCCCGGACAGATAATCACAGCGAGCTGACTGGAGGCTTTCTGTGAACGTGTGTGCGTGCCATGTAAGTGGTGGGGTTTATGCAGGGTCCCTAATCCATGACATAGTATGAGTCAACTATTGGGAGGCCGTCAAACATGGAGACCTGACCTCAATGTCCTCACCATGGTTGTTTAAAGTATGCCTTTGACCATCTGCACAGAATAGATGTATACATATTAATGCTGTACAGATTATTGTATTGTGGAATACACTCCATTCAAGAAGCTGTTTTCTCTAATCTCACCTTCCTCAGTAGATCTCATATGTGCCTGCATGGATCTAATGAGCACAGCATGACCTTGCTGCTGGTAGGTTCAGACAAGCTCCTGCATGCCTTCCCTCTTCCAGTCATTCATTTATTGCCCCTGAAACCGCAAACAGCCCAAACACCCACACACCATGGCCCTCGTCTGTGGCATGTAGCAGGAGTCCTGTACAAAGATCTCTTATGAGCCTCCTCTGGACACAAGCACTGAACTGTTAGGTTTGTATATATGTGTGTGTGTGTGTGTGTGTGTGTGCGGTGAAGTGAAAATGTGTCCAAAATCAAGTGTTTATGCCAGTGTTCTTAACAGGGCTGTTTTTGTATTACAATTTGCTTGGAAATGTTGTTTTCCCCTCTTCATAGCATAAGCCTAATGTGCTGATTATTAATTGCTTAATTAGAAACTCTTGATATTATTGCCTAATCAGTTAATGAGGCCAAGACAGACAACGCTTTCTATTCAGAAGCTAAGGACAGCACTCAAAAGCAGGACTACAGAAAGCTTTTGTTGCCTGTTGAATAGGAGAAGTTCAACAGTCCACAAGTGGTAATTAACTCATTTTAATCAGCTGGCAATGGCCCTTAATTAAGTTCTTTTTGTTATGTGTGTTCATGTGTGTAAAAACAACTCCCAAGTACAGCCTGGACAAATCAGCTTCATTTATTGCTCGCATGTTCCACAAATGCTGCCACACCAAAGACATAATCAGTATTAATGATGAATAGACACAAGAATGCTACACAGAATTAAACAGCCTATACCATTAAGCAAATGTGTCCTTCGCAAAGCAATTAAGTATGACAACATAAAGCAGCACCACAAGGTGAAACTTCAAGTCCTCTTGCGAAAGAATTCCTGATTATCACACAATTACCTGCAGCCCTGTGCGTTGACCTCGCCGTAAAAAGTGAGACGGAATGCAGAGGTGGTTGAAAAGCTGTTCCCCTGATAACAAATGCAGGATAATGGCTCAAAGAAACCCAAGAAAGTATTGGAATGAGTGGAAAAGGTCCACAGCTTCTCTCTTGAAATACAAAAAGTAATTACATGTGTTTTTTTTTTTATGGAGTTCGGGTCTCAGTAATTAATTTCACATCTGCTCATGTGTGTCACAGTGGGGATTACAAGATCATTGTTCCATTAAGAAGATAATGAGGCTTAAAGAGAAAAATGCTTTGGGGGTGTTTGCTTGATTGACAGGTGATGTTATCCCACCTGAGTGCGTGTTAAAAACAAAGCTGGGCTTTAGAAAAATATGTTGGTTTTTGTTAGACTATGATCCTAGCATGTAGAGCGCAGCAGGCATTTCCAGCTGATTCTGTTTTTTTAGTTACACCTACATGCTTCACCAACACAACTTTCAGGGTGTGGCCCTGCTTTCACTGGTACCGCTTTAGTTTTACAAATTCTTGGCTCTTATTCAGCTCTTCACGTTGCTCTGGCAACACTGGACGAAGCAGAAGGAGTTAAGTCCATATCGTCTCTGTGGATGAAGTCCAGAGGCTTTATCATCCCATGCTGGAGCTCCCTGGAACATGTGAAATATGTTAGACATCCATGACATACATTTCAGCCACACACACACATGAGCTGATGCACAGTTATTACAATGACTTAACCATGGTATCTACATTATGATTTTTTTCAATGTAAACTGTCACTAAAACAGCCACGCTTGATAATAATTTCAAGACTGACTAAAACCAACTGAAAAATCTTTCAAACCCAACAATGCCCTCAACAAAGTAAAGGACAGCTGTAGTGAGTACAGGAATACAGCTCGCAGAATGATAAAATAGCCATCTTCTACAACTCCAGAATGCAGCATGAATCATATTTTCCCTTTTTCTTACACTGAAATCTGTTACACAACAGCTACACAGAGGCACGCAAAAAAAAAGGGAGCCTTTGTGTGTGCTCTCCCTTCTCCTGTCTCTTTCACACTGTTCTGCAACATTCGTCGTGTCCCTGGAGATGTGATGTTATGAGCAAAGCGTGAAGAAACAGTAGAGCCTGTGCAACAAGGTCCACCCTGCAGCTGAGATTCCAGAACCACTGACATCTTTGCAATGATGTCATGTTTCTCGATGTTCTAAAACCTTGAAACAATGGGGCAAACAGCACTGGAACTGTAGGTGTGACCAGTGTACTTGAAAGATGCATCTAAAAATATTATTGTTGCCGAGAAATGTAAGGACGTACCTAAAAATGCCCGGAGAAGAACATGTGACGAGTGGCAAGTTTCACTCGGAATCAGCTGTTATTTCAGTAAACACAAAGCACTGTTCAGGTAAATGAAACACGAATACAGAGTTGAGTTTTTGTTCCTAGAATATTCAACCAGGAGCGATGTGACCTGACATAACAGTCATCTTACGATACCACAAGCGCAAGTAGTGTCTCTGAGCATTCACACTTTCTAGCTCCAGTGGTTTTAGTTTTAGTCAGATAACAGAAACCTCGTATTTCTCTCTGAGTCAACACAGTGTTGCTATTTGTATTTTGCAATTGTGAGGTGGGGATTTTTAAATCTGCGCTCGAAGGAAGGTGTGCAGAAGTGAAAAGGAATGTGGATCTACTGGCTTTTCAACATTTTATTACACGCTGTAGCCACAGTTAAAGACAACTGCTTGATGTCTACATCTCGGTCAACAACAAAAATGTCATTAAGCAAAGTTCCAGTGATAGAAAGTAACAAAGCACATTTACTGTATTTTACCTAGTTTTCAGATACTTACTTTACTTGAGTATTTCCATTTTATGCTACTTTACACTTCCAGTCAGCTTAATTTCAGAGGGAACAATTGTACTTTCTACTCCACTGCATTTATTTGACAGCTTTATTTATTTTTAAGATAAAGCTTTTACACATTAATAAGCTTTTAAGACACAACAGATTGTTAAAAAAAAATCAACCAGCAGCTTCCAACCTGTTTGGCTTCTGACACCTTATAAAAAGCAGTGTGTAGTCACGTTTCAGATGTCTGAGTTGTTATAAGATTGACTAAATATTGATTTTTCCGTCTAATCTTCTCTCAGGGTTCTATTTGAATAAATGTTCAAATGATCTAAGATCTGATTTAAAAAAATGAATAAATAAAAAAGATTAAAGAAAAAGTCCAAAAATTCTAAGCTGACTGGTGTATCAGGAACTGTTTTTTTTTTTCTTCTTTTATCCTCTCCCATTAATCATCCGACGAACCCTCAGATTTATCTTCTGTCCCTGTTAATGAAACTAGATATAAAGTAATTTAACCTGCTGCACCTGCAACAGCTACAACAGGAACAAGCTGCTGATGCACTGATGCTGATGCTTCATTAATAATTTAATGAAGCCATACATAATAATATGACAGACCAAATTGGTACTTTAATACTTTTACTAAATTTTGCTGATAACACTGATGCATTTTTGCCAGATTGGTACTTTTACTTTAGTAAAGGATCTGAATATTTGTCCCAGTAAAAAAAAAGTTTCCACCAGAAGACTCTAACACTGATACTAGCAGCTGGAATGAATGCGCAAACAGTAGTGTGGTCTCACAAGTCAGCAATAATTAGCTCTGCAAATAAAAATCTCTGAATGATGTGTTATTTAATAAAAACTAACTATGCAATTAGCGAATTACGTAATGCACAACTTATCTCTGTTTTGGACTCCTCCTGAAAAGAATCCATTGATTACAATCAGAATTTACTGTACAGAAAAGTAGATTATACTGAATGCAGAGTTATTTTTAACATGCTATTTGACTCAGCTCTACTGAGCGTTTCACAGAAAGATCACTGTTTTATAAGCCTTGACAAAATTCCTTCTCTGCTGGGTCATACGGGTGGAGAGCCTGCAGTTATCAGGTTATCAGGGATTCTATCTGTCCTCCAATCCCCTTTGACTTGGCCACAGCTGCAGTCCTGCAAGGGGTAAGCTTCAGTATATTTATGTGTGTGTGCGTCTGTGTGTGTGCTCATACATATGTGTGTGTGTGTGTATCCTCCACCCTTCCCCTTAAAACCTACTGCCAACTGTGCCTGCAATGTGAATTCCCACTGATCCTGTTTCCTGTCGAGCCTGATGAAAAACTCCCAAAATGACACAGCAACAGTTTTGTGCGTGTGTGTGTGTGTTTAAGAGAGAAAAAAACAGGTAATACCAGAAGATGTTCATGTTGCGCTTGTATGAACAGTTTATTCTCCCACACTGACATATAAAAAGATGTCTTTATAACATGTTTGAAAATAGAATTCTGTGCTGCAGTTCAAAGAGACTGTGTGTAAGATTTAAGCACATGTGTGTGTTTGAGCTCTTGGCCCCGCATGTGATTTTCTGTGCTTTCTGACGAGTGTAATAAACCTGTCTGAGTGTACATTTGCACTTGCCCGTTTGCATTATTGCATGGAGGGCTGAACAAAACACACGTCTCCATGACAAGCTGAAAACCACGCTCTCGTGCTCTCGGTGCTTATCTCCTTACTACTCCTCTTTCTCATCTGCTGGGAAAAAATGAATACACCAGCAGAGAGGCCAAATGTGGTGAGGCTGCAAGCTGATAGGTTGTATGCATGATAAATGAACTTTGGCTAACCCACACATAAGAGAATGGGAAACAAAAAGCATACACACACCCTACCTGACAGTTTTGTATAAGGCAGCTTTGTGCTTTTCTAGCTGCTCATTAAAAGATTCCAACCAGACTCAAAAATAGCAGCTCCGCTCAGCTGGACAATGACGAATAATAAGCCACTGTGCCTGATGCTAACAATTACTGGGACCAATTTCATAGTAATGAAACAACAGCGGTGCTTGAAGGAGCATTACTGGGCCCATTTATTAATTGAACACCATCATTTTATCACTTCTGTTCGTTCCTTCCTCCTTCCATTGCTTTCTGTCTCTCCTTCCATTACTTCCTGCAGATGTAGAAGTTGGAAACCTGAATCATGCCACTCTGCTTGTTGCTGTTGGGCAGAGGAACCAAAGCTTCAGTGCAACAACTCTACTCAGCAGTGAAAAGATTTTCACAACAGTGAATATCACAATCTAACAACATCATCTGAGGCTAGGGGGACCTGGCTTAGCTCTTAAACTGTCGGTGCTTCTCAGCCAACTGACACTGAGCAGCAGAGACGCTGGGCCAAAGACGGCTAAAGTGGAGTTCAGTACATCTAGAGTCATCGCTGCAGGAAATATATGATAGTGTTTCTTGAGCTTAAAATAGTTTAGTGTATTTTCCTCCATTTCTTGTTAAACATGTTTCTTATTAAACACTATGTAAACTACTGAAATGCAGTTCTTGTGGACAGCTTTACTGTAAATGTGAAGCACGCGTACAGAGCGTTCAGCAGCACAGTATGTACTGACGGTAATCATATCATGTGTGCTGAATTTCTGATATGAAACTCTGTGGGTGATCTGTTAGCTGCCACCAATAATGAAATTAATCAGGACAATTTGAGAGGGATGGATAAAAACCTAGATGCAGTTAAAAAAAGAAGAAAGAAAGAAAGAAAGGAAGAAAGAAAGAAAGAAAGAAAGAAAGAAAGAAAGAAAGAAAGAAAGAAAGAAAGAAAGAAAGAAAGAAAGAAAAGGCAACTGCACTGAGAGTTTCTTTTAAGGTCACTTGAGTTCAAACAAGAGTTAACACTTGTAGATATCACATGACCTTGATGACTGAAAAAGTGACTAAAATAAAGTCTTTTAATGAGATTTGACTGAGGCCGAATTCAATGGGAGGTGATTCAAAGGAGGAAAGCAATTATGCTGTTTAAAAAAGAGTAAAAACCGAGGAGCCTATCTGCCAGCGGTGTATACAAAAAAGCTTAACATTCCACCACTACAGCCTACATCTGAGGTGCACGCACACACTCGCACAGCCGCACACACTGAAAACGAAAACCTACACTTGTGGCTGCAGACTGCAGAGGAAGCTGTCAATGTGCTCCTGTGACATGTCCCCGTCTACGCGAGCCAGGTAGGTGTAGAGTTTTGCAAAGGTATCAAACGGGATCCTCGCAGCACCGCCTTCCTCGTCCTCCGTCAGGATCTCACAGGCAGACTTCAGAGTACCCGTCAGGCCCTGAGGATGTGTATTTCGAGACACAGGAAAATCAGTGTGAGGAATTTTGTTTAAAAAAAGATACCAAAAAAGGGACACACAAACACAAAAGCATGCAGTGAAGGACATCCCCACCCCATTTGAGCATTACAAATACACTCTACATGCACATATGCCAGCTAAAGATAGTAAAAAAAAAAAAAAAAAAAAAACAGCCCAATCGAGCTAGAACAAGACTGCCCTCATGTGGTCAAAGTGGTCCACAGCCTCATGCACAGCAGCATCCCATCCAAAAGACACTGAGCACATGAGGATGTTAATGCTTTGCTGCATTTGCTTTTGCAGACACTAAGTCATCTTCTGTAAAGTTTTCGATGCTTAAAAGAAAATTCTCTTTGATCTGTCTCTGCTGCTCTATCTGCATCTGTAAAGCAAAAATCATTTGGCTTAACAGCTCGACAAAGATTCACATCATCCGAAAAGGATTTATCCTGTCATTCTTTACGGAGCTCTGGGATTCCGATGGAGAAGTCTGGATCATGGATGTCTGGATCTTGTCTAAACACGAGGAGGTTAGAGTGTGAGATGAACAAACACAGCACTGCTTGAGGATCTCCAGCTGTGCACGGTCTCACAGTAGGTTTTAATGCTCAAACGAAGTGGAATAAAGTGGCATTAGCATTTATATCTGGCCTTATCTAACATCTCACCCCTGCTAGAGCGCTGCAGGCCAGGGCGAAAAACTCCATCCAGTCAATGTCTGAGCCAAAGCTGCCCAATGACAGCAGCGTCTTCAGCTGATCCATGGGTAGGCACAGACCCTTCCATTTCGCCTGCAGTTCCTCCTCGCTGCAAGTTTTCCTGGAGGCCATCTGTGATCGAGGTAGGAGTTAAAACAAATTATCCACTTTATAGGATGACTGTATGAAAAATCCTGACTAATAATTCTGTATTATTTGCTGAAATAAAAAGCAGTGTTGAAGCGAGAGAGTGTGGCAGCTGAGCTCTCCTTTACCTGTAGTAGAATCTTATGTATAAGTTTATTCCCACTCCAAGCTGGTAGACTTTCTTGCAACATGAATACTAATGTTAATGTCCAGAACAATAACACAATTTTGCAACTGTTGTACATTTGTGGCCATAAAGTTGACAGACTGTTCTTAGATTTTTTCCCATTTTGTAATGTAAACACAGTTTAATGTGTTGCAAAAATTTTTAAAACCCAAGACGATACGGAGCAGCATTTTCGCAAGGTTAGGCTTAAGTGTTGGCCATTAAGGAAATATTAATTATTCAGATCTTTTAATGAATCCACACCAAGATGCCAGTAAATGCCCCAGGTGAGATAAAATAGGTCTGCAATAATATGCAACTTTAATGATCCACATGGGGTCACGGCATCATTGCAATATGCAGAAACACACAGAAATAATAAGAGTAAGCAAAGATTGGATATTAAACGCTCACAAAGGCATATGAGGTCATCAATTACAGAATGTGGCCTGTAAAGGACATGCACATTAAAAACAGGAAATCACATTGGAATATTGTTCCATCCATTTAACGCATTTCTTTTCTTTTACCACTAACACTATGAAGAACAGGATTAAGTGATAAGTTCTATGAGTTTTTGAGAGAATACCTGTTTGTGGAGGGTCTTCAGTAGACCTGGAGTCAGCCCAGTGTCTGTCTTCTGGGTGGCAACATTCATCTCCAGCCTGTCCTTGACAGGTAGACACTCTCCTTTAGACAGCGCATTGAAGTATCTGGGCGAGGACACATTCACATTATTAGCACGCATATATTATTAAACACCATGCTTAGCTTTACCCTGCTTGCTATTCATCTCGCCTTTGTCTTAAACCTGCCGTTCCACCAATGTGATAAAAGGAGACCATGTAAAAATGAGTTATAAATTGGCATTTGTCCAATTTAATGTCTTCTCATGAGTACTGTCAGTTGAATATATCATCCCTCAGAGTCAATCATCATAACTTGTAGCTTTGTTTGCGAGAAGTTTCCCCAGTCATGCTGTTGCTTATCTTACTTCGCTAGTCATATTATGTTTTATAATAAATTCAGAGGCAGCATGACTTTCAGGATCTCTGAGAGGCAACGAAGCCTGGTGTTACTTTAATAGCATACAAACATCTTTAAACCCACGAGACACTTGAATTGTTTTTTGCTTCACCGTATGACTCATTTTATTGTTTATTGATGATAAGCCAGCCCTTGGTGGTAAAAAAAACAAAACAAAAAAACTCCAAAATAAACAAACAAAAAAAACAGACAAAACAAAAACTAAAAAACAAAAACCCTTGAATATTTCAATTCCATCCAGTACTTTCATCATGTCTTCTCTTTGCTGAGGAAAGTCAGATAGTTTAACCGCTGCGGTAACGTGGAAAGCCCCCCGGGATCTAATTACAGCCAATCAATGCAAAGATAAGACATGTGCAGGTGAAAAGGGGCCTGCCTTTTATTACAGCGATGTTGCCTGGAGACACTGTGGACTCTGTTTATGCTATAGTTTGACAGAATAAAACTGGAATAAAACACAACTGCGTCTACCCAAACCACCGTTGACGCAGATTAAGACTTACGCCACAGACCACAGCAGCACATCCTTGGGCTGTGTTCGGATGGCTGCCTTGGTGAAGTTTTTCAGGATGTCTGGCAGCTCAGGAGGGATGTTGATTTGCTGGGCACAATAGAAAGTCTCTGGAATAACCATGGCTGTAATATGAACATTGCAAATATAGTCCAATTAGAAGATGAGATGTAATAAAAAGCAGATCCAAGAGGAAATAAAAACATGACAGCTCCCTGGCTGCTAAAATGTCCCGACTCTGACAATAAAAATCATTAACATAACACTGGTTTCCTAGACCTAATTTAACCGCCCATTGTTGCCGTCTCACCGTGGAACTTGGAGAGGAATATGGAGACCATGAAAGCAACATGTTTCAAAGAAGTAAGATATAAAAAAAAAAACGCTGCAGGTACATTTCCTGGTAGCAAGCTGTTCCTGTATGATAAAAGGAGCCATGCAGGAAAAGATCCCATTCATACAGCCACAGATATGGATGCTATCAGCAAATTTTACATATTTCACTGAATGAGAGAGAGAAATAAGGGAAAAGGCTGAGAATGTTAATGATGTTCTCTCTAGCGTTAACCACCTCAAATTTTGGGTCCAGAAGTAGTAAATAAAGAAATAAAGACACCGTGTTGGGTATAAGCTCAAGGACAGGGATGCAAAACGGTCTAACAGGGCAAAATATAGCCCTTGCCTTGACTGTAGCTGGAGTTAATGTGGGCTCGCCTGTTCTGTACCCCAGATATATTCTGGCTGAGTCCAGTTTGTACACTGGCTTAAGATTTTATTTCACACCCTCATGACGCAACCCCATCCACTACAACATGTAATTTTAATCACTTAAATGCCTTTGCAAACTAATCAAGTGCAACCTATATTTAATCATGAGTTGGGGAAAAAAACATTATTGCATTAGTACAAATTACTTATTCCTGAATTTATCAAAAAGGAAACAACTGTTATTGCAACATGACTCATCCATTAATAAAATGTAAATTTCCAACACAGTCAACAGAATTTCTTAGCATCATTATTGAGAATAATCTAACATTTACATTTACAAATGCAAGACCTCCCAAATACACTGAATAACTTATAAGGTTTCTAACAAAATTAGAACAGCATTTGCCACAAAATACACATCTAATACGATGGACATTGAAATAAGGAGTTGTTTATGAAAAACACTGCCTATAAGAAGTTCAGACCCCTAGGATCCCCCCCCCTTACTTTTTTAAAATTGTTTTTTAACATCAAAACCCATCCATCCATCCATCCATCCATTATCTATACACCGCTTAATCCTCACTAGGGTCACGGGGGGGCTGGAGTCTATCCCAGCTGACTTAGGGCGAAGGCAGGGGACACCCTGGACAGGTCACCAGTCTATCACACTTAGAGCACACTCACATTCACACCTACGGACAATTTAGAATTACCAATTAACCTCAACATGTTTTTGGACTTGTGGGAGGAAGCCGGAGAACCCGGGGAGAACATGCAAACTCCACACAGAAAGATCCTGGTGCCCCCACTGGGAGGCGAACCGGCGACCTTCTTGCTGCGAGGCAACAACGCCAACCAGCTACGCCACCTTGCAGCCCCACATCAAAACATGTTCAATTTTATTTATTTATTTATTTATTTATTTTTACCAAAAAAAGAGACTCTTCCATGTCCAAGCGAAAACAGGTTTTCTTCAAAGTAATATTAATTTATTAAAAATATAAGATAAGAGATTGCATAAGTATTCAGGTCCTTTAAAGGGACTCACTTAATTCAACAAAGGTGCAGCAAATTGGTGCCAGAGGTCAGTTAGTGAAATGGAGAATATCTGTGTGCAGTCAATGTGTCTCCAGTAACGGCAGTATAAAGTATCTGGAAGGCTGAGCCACTGGAGAATTAGTAGTCCTGGTTATAACTACAACATGAAGACGGAGAAACCCCACCAAATGCACCACCAGACAGGTTTCTTACACTCTGTATAAAGCATAAGTCACAGGATGATTACAAGAAAATCTGGCCTGCTACAGTTGAAGACGAGAGAGCAATTCAACGAAAACAGTATTTCTCTATTTGTTATACTACCATGACTACTAATCCCATAATTTCTTATTTGCTGACCAAATGAATACAAATGCAGCACGAAATATATACATACATATACAACAATGTTAACGAGCCAACTTTGATGCACCATCACTTGCCAATAAAAAAAACAACAAAAGAAAAACAAACCAACAACAGCAAAACTAAACTATAACGTTACCTGGACTGATGAAAATGACAACGATGGCAACAGAAGATCGCGAAAAGGCCTGAAATATAACCCGCTAGCTCAAAATTAACGCTACAACGATCTGGTTGTAGCGTTCGTCGCATAGCAACGGCGGTCTTCTTCTTCGTTTCTTTTTCCGCGCCTTCTTCTTCTTCTTCTGCTGCTGCTGCTGCTTCTTGTGGAGCTTGCAGTGCATTACTGCCCCCTCCGCTTATCAAAATTGACCAAGGACACTTTACTTTCTAATCATGGTGCAAGAATCATTTAACTGCCAGTGATTCCTAATTTTCACCTATTGATCCTCCCAGCGTTATATTAATTCTCATTCTATTTAACAAAGGTCCATCGACTGACGTCCCTAGAGACCCTCAAAATAAACTGCAGTAAGAACAAACACCATAGCAAAATTACAACAAACGTTCTTCTCATAAAACAATTACTTGTGTAATTATACAATCCATCCATTATCTCTACTCCGTTTAATTCTCATAAGGGTCGCGGGGGTGCTGGAGTCTATCCCAGCTGATTTAGGGTGAAGGCAGGGGACACCCTGGACAGGTCACCAGTCTATCGCAGGGCTGTACTGTGGGAGGAAACCGGAGAAGCCGGAGAGAACCCACGCTGCACGGGGAGAACATGCAAACTCCACGCAGAAAGATCCTGGGTGTCCTCACAGGGACGCGAACCGGTGACCTTGTAGCTGCGAGGCAACGGTGCTAACCACCGAGCCACCTTGCAGCCACCTTGCACCCCCCTAAAAAAATCAGAAAGTTAGTGTGCTTATTATGTACAATAAACTCAGATAGCTTTCCATGTAAAATGCAAGTTTTCATCCCAAGTACAATCCAAATTTTTGGAACTTTTTGAACTGTTTTTTTAATTTTCAAAAACTACATCCGTGGTAATTTTTATGTCTCAGAATTTCTACAGTGCCAAATGTGTCCAATCTTAATCTCCTTGCAGTAGTTGCCTAAAACTACAACACTGATACCAACCATAACTATGTTATACAAATAAAGTCCCGATTTGTTACAGCCAAACACATCTTGGAGTTCTAAAAAACACAGCAAAGCTCTTAAAATGTTTTTATGTACATAAAATCCTTCTCACCCTCTTTTGCCTCAAAATTGTACACATCATGCTGTAACTGCATGTCAATCATATACTAAACACACCTTTATCTTGTAGAATAGAACATAAATGTTATAAAATGATGTGTTGTATTTCTGGCTTTGAACAGTGTTTTCTTTTAGGGTTGTCAACAGTACTGGGAGCTTTTGACTAGAGTTCGCTAAGAACCTATACATTGGCATTTTTAAAACGCGATAGTTAACATCTAAACATAAAACTAGGACATAAAGTCATTAGGAACAAAATGATGAACAAAATCATAAATACAATTTGAATGATTAAATAAAGCACCTTTGAAATATGAAAAAAAGTTCTGTGCAGGTCAGAAGGATGAGGGTTAAAAGTCCTGACAAACCATACCACTGTTAATGGCTGGTTAAGACTCTCAATTAAAAACTTGCAAGGTAACATAATGGTGAGATACATAATAAAAAGGTAGAAATTTCAAGGTTTAGTAATTTAGAAAAATATGATTAAAGGTTATTTTACACCTTTATAGAGAATGTAATGACAATTTTTTGGACCACCTGGATATTATGATGTCCGCTGTTCAGTCTTACCAGTGACAGGCATTTTCATCCCAACCGAGCTTTTCAGACAAGTGATTTGTGATTTGACTGCTGAAGCTTATAGGGAATCCAGATGTTTTGGATTGTTGGGTGTTTCTGTTTCTGTTTCTGCCTTTGTGAAGCGCTATGAGATGACTTGTTGTTGTAAATATGCGCTATACAAATAAAATTGAATTGAATTGAATTGAAAAATTTGTCATATCCCCAGCATCAGGGCTCCTGTTCCATTAATCACACAATCAAAACATGTTTTCCCTACAGATTTACATAATGATGTATTGATATTCCTCAACGCTTTTCCATGAAGCTACTTGGCGGTGTAATACTTAGGATCAGATACAGAATATGACAATGTTAACTGAGTCTATTAGCCTGCCATAAAAGCAGTGAAAATCAGTGCAACCATGTATGTGTTTGCTACAAACCATATGAAACACTTTTAAAAACAGAAAACTTTCTGTGTCGACACACATTTATTGAAGTGATGCCATAAGCAGGCAAAACATCATATCGAAGATTTTATTAATAAACAGTTTCTTGAAAATACAGGATTCCACAGACTGTGATTAGAAAATAATAGTACAATTACCAGTATTTGGTAACTGAAGTGACATGGACAATTTAAAAAGCAAAATATCCTCTGAACCACCCCCAACACTCAAAAGAAGCATGACAGACAGGAGAGACAAATTCAAACTTGTGCGATAGGCACACATGCACATTCACGCAATCACTGTCAGGTCACATACACTGGCAAGTGCAAATTTGTTCTAGCACATGTATAAATTGAGTAGGTAGAATATGCACTGTGAAATCCCTTTCAGATTTAACTAACTTAACATCTAATGGGGGCCAGGTAATACAAAGAGGCATTTCCTATCCCAAGTTCTTCACAATAGTACACAGGGGCAAACAAAGTTTTTCTAAAAGTAATTAATGAACAATAATAAGGATGGACTGCAGCAATACAACACAGGTTATGTGGACTAGATAATGGACTGTCACAAGGTGCTAGTCCCCCTCTACCCCATCCCGAATGTCAGCTCTTTCTCTACTTGATACAAAAATAAAACTGTGCTTCCCCAAAAACCCACCCTCGACACTCCTGTGTATAAAACTATCTAGGATCAGATAATATTCCCTATTGACACTTTCAGATAGGGACTATGCTGTTCCCACCCACTTACCACCCCATACGCTTTTTTTCCCTTTACCTTATCATACCCTTCCCTGGACACGACTTGAGCCAAGTCAACATTTGAGAAGCATTCAAGTGCAGTTCTGTGACTGAGAGAGTTTGTGTAACAAAATGGAACCAACTAGACTGTCCACTTCAAAGCGCAAAAAACATGTTTACCTTGTACAATATTCAGACTAAAGCAATTCCTCACAGAAAACTGAATGATTTGAAACGGACCCGGCTCTGTCCTTATCTGGCATTCCCAAAAGCATTGTAGCACCACAGACCAGAGTGTGCAGGGAACTTTTTGAGGCAAATGGGCTTAAGATTAAATGAACAAACACCATCGTATCCTTTCTTTATTTGCCACTGTCGACTGCATTGATTGATTTGGTCCCACTTTTCTTACTAAAAGCAACAATAACCCTACTTTAAAAAAAGAAAAGTTTTTCTCGTACTCAAAGGATAATTCCAGTTTCTGACATTTGGTGGTCTGATTGACTGAATATAAAGTACAAGTATAAATCTAATTTCACTGATGAAATGAATGAAAGCGGAAAATGGTCATGTGAGTGACTGAAATGGAATCAAATCAACGTAGAACAGTGGACAACACAGACTAGTGAATTAGAGAAAGATAATGCTGGTTGGTCAACAGGATTTTCTTTTTCTTCATGTTTATTGAGCATAAACCTCCTAATGATTTGAAAACAGTAATCTTTTGTTTCTGTTAGATGGTGGGTCCGATCACTTCCCTGATGTTTTCCTCAAATTTCCTCCGTTCTATAATCTAATGATAATTTCAGCGCTGCTTATATGCTTTTGAGAGACCAGGCCTTACTTTGCTACAAGCCCCAAGCTGGACAGCTGCTCAGTCACAAGGTTCTGATCTTCTCCCGTTTCTATCTCTTGCCTCTTTTGTTACCGGCAGGAGGCTTCTTCAGCTGGAGTAGCGGCGCTCCTGGGCCAAAGCCTGCAGCGGGTTGGTTGGACACGCCAAAAGTCAGGCCAGCCGACGGGTTGATGCCGGGATTGCTGAAGTTAAAGCCTGAGCTGCTGCTGCTACCAAAACCTAGAAAAGCAAGAGAAAGCACACGGAACGTCAGAAAAGAGAAAAAAAGTATGACATGTTGGAGAGAACATAAGTAATGGAAAAAATAAGGGATAAAAACAAAGGATGTCCGTATGAAATACAGATGTTCTGGTAGAACACCCCAGATCCTAAAATGTCAGAGTGCCAGCACACTTACTGTATGTATAAGTCCTACAATACTAGATAATGGATGGTGTTGAGGCCCACTTACCAATCAGAGCAACCACACATGAAGCTCACAGTAACTTAATAACACGGCTTGTCCTACTGCATGCATGATGCTGCTTTGAGTGTAAATACATTCTTCTGCAGACAAATATTAACAGTTCAGAGGATCACCACAATACAGGCTTGCTGTATTGTTTTTTTCTTTTTTGTTGTTGCTGTAATTTTAGGAGGGCCAGGTGTGAAGGTGTTATATACAGCATGTATGTACCTGCACTCAGACTGCCTCCTGTGGGCTTACTGGTGGAGGAGAAGGCAAAAGAAGACCCCCCAGTCCCCACCCCACCAAATCCTGGCCCACCACCAAAACCTGTGGGAGAAAGTGACATAGAAGTCAGACTGGGCTAAGCACACAAGCCTACACTAGGAACGAACACAAGGAAGCAGTGGCCTCAGGAGTACACACAGGCAAGCATTAGCAAACATATGCCACAACCTAATCCACAGAGCACCACGTACAGCTTAACTTCTGACTGAACACTGCAGAACAAAACAGGACTCACAGTACACTGCATAGCAATGCGAAAGCCGAAGGAAGGAGAATGACAAAGATTTTACCAAACATACCAGCTACGACAGAACACGGCAAATTTTGTGTGCGTTCAGACCACTTGTTCCCGCACTGCTGGTGACGTTTCAGCATGACAAAATGATGTGCAGTCATCCAACTTGCCACATGTCAAGGTAAACACAGTGACCTGTAGCAAGCGTAAGTTTTTGTGTGGTATGAACGCACTTGACCTCCCGCACAGGGAAGAATAGGAAAGAATAAACTCCTAAGTTGTGACAGCACCACTCTCAGCACATACACACCAGGTACCTCTCATACAAGAGAACTGAAAAACCTCAAAAAGGCTGCTTGGCATGGAAGACTAGATGGCATTAGGGAAATGGTAAACTATGCAAGGGAGTGGGAAAATAACAGGGAGTAATTATTTTAAACAGGCAGAGGGTAATACCTCCAAGGGTAGAAGAGCCCAAGCTAGTGCCCACTGCCGAGGCAAAGGGGTTTCCAAACCCTGCCCCCAAGGGTGCCTGGGTCCCTAAAGCACAGAGAGAGAGCATATGCTTTACTCTTCTGAATGTGTTTTTTGTAAGTAAAAAGGACACTGTACATGATTCGTGAATTGCATTACTGTCATACTGACAGAATACGTTTCTGAATGGAAAAATGGAAAAACAAAAAAAAGTTCTTAGTTTTACCTTTAGTTTTAGAAAGAATGTGTGCAAATGATCAACATTTTTAACATGTTAATAGTGGTTTTGCGTTTCAGACATCAAAAGATTGCAGTAGCTAAGAAATTATTCTACAGTGTCACATAATGCTTTATAACTGTTAAAATAACTGCATGTAGGCAATGTACAATGCTTCTATGACTGCTCTATATGAATATATGAAGAGTTCATTTGCAAAAACAGATAACTCCATTTTTGTAGATTTTAAGAAAACTTCTTTTTTTGTTGTTTGCTTGAGATGGTATCAATCAAACTGAAGTTGAGTGGATTTGACTCAGTAGAAATGACATGACAAAAATAGAGATAACTTAAGTTTGATTGATGTTGTCTCAGCTAGACGATGGAAAAGTGGGTTTGCTGAAGGTTTGTGAAGATGGAGTTATCTGTTTTTGAAAACGTACTCTTCATATGCATTTTAGAAATTCGCTTATAAAAGTTACAAACTATAATACTCCAGCAAATCATTACCACAGTTATTGTTGCTGACAAACTGGGGGGAAAAAGTACTGCTAGTTCTTTCACTCAGAAACTTGTCTTTTGTTTCCTCTATGTATTTTTCTTTCTTTCGTGTAATAAAATTTTGCTTCCAATTAGTCTGCATTGCTAAAACAACGTCAGTCAAAAAGAAACAAGGACAAACGTTTCTTTGTTTAAAAACTGATTTATTGTCAATTTAATATGCAATTCCACTTACATAAAACACAAACAAACAGTTTAGAACAGAATTGGCTGTTAATTGCTAACTGCTACTGCATTTGACAAGTTTCCAAATTTTCAAGATTTCTGAGAGTGAATGAACTAGCATATGCTAAAAAATGCATCACACAATTATTGAATATAGCTTAAAAGGCACACCATATTATATATTAAATATATTGTATCAACAGGCATTGGATATATAAGTTCAAACACACTCTGTTACAAGTAAAAGCACTCGAGATTTAGATAAGAAATGTGAAATTGGCATTTATGTCTGCCTTTCAGTGTAAACTGGTCAAAATCAAGGAAAATCAAGTGATATGGTACAGTTTGCACGTGGAAGTCAATGTGGTCAGGTTTTGGGCCATCCTTCCACGAGGAAATGAACGACCTTTGTGGTTCATGTTTGGTTTAACACCAGTGTATTCTTCAACATAACAACAGCTATTACTATCTAGGTGGTTAAATCTAGACATAATTACAGGCTACAAACTCTTTGTTGGATCAAGTCTGACTTCGAAGAGATTTTTTTTAGTTTTAAAATAGCAAATTGTGCTTGTGCCCCAACACAATTTGCAATAGAACTACCTCAGGAAAGCCAAACAGAGAAACCACCATAAAAAAAGGGTGTAACCAAAGTATATGATAAAGATTCAAAAGGAAATGTTTAGAGAATAGGAACATTCAAAACAGTCTATGACAGCCAACCACACCAGACTCAAATTTTCAACTGATCAGGCCCATTTTTGTGTACTGTTGTGCTGGAGTTCAACGTAAAAGAGCATCTGAGATTATAAATGTACAATTCAGAATCATTGAGTTTCTGAATGACTCCAGTTGAAATGAGCCGTGCAGGCAAACTTTGGAGCTAGTAGTGTGCCTAACATTAAAAAAAAAAAATCACATTTTAATTCCTTCACTTGTTAAATTAAAGAGGTAAATTGGATCATTCTTGCTGTTCTAATATCATTAAATAAAATACAGCATTTGCCTACATATTACTGATAGATAATGAGAAGATACCTAAAATAAACCCTTTTCAGACATGGGACACATCTGTTGAAGTGCGAGAGTTCTGTCATTCAAACATAGGTCACTTTTAATGTTCCTCACGGCCGTATTCAAACATAACCAAGACAGTGCAGATATTTGAGCGACATTTATACGAAGGGATGCAAAAGGTTGCGTCTCCCACTATACGTAACAACATCCTATGTCAGTACGTCCTAATTGGTGCGTGCCTATCCATTAATGCAACTGCATGGAGTTCAGACTCGTGTTAAAAGTGATATGAGTCACAATATTTAAGTGACCAGAGGGCTCATTCAGACAGGAAGCTGACACGTTCAGTTGCCATCAGATTAATGGAAAGGAGTGCATGTCTGAAAAGGTCTATAGAGTAATATGGTGGCTTAAAATCCACTCTTACTTTGACAGTCCTAACATCTTTGACAGACCAACAATTACATCAATTAATGGTCATTATTGTGCCATGTATGCCTTTAGAGATGTGGAAGACAATATGGTAAAGTGTAACCGAAGCCACACAAAAGTCAAATTCTGGACAACTTGGGAATCCTTCAAACAACATCTGGTCGATCCAAAACTGTGTTTGAATACTACAAAAAGTTCAGCGTTGTCTAACAGAGGACTGGAATGTCCAAAGCAGCAGTTTTTCTCAACACACAATGGCTTCACCAAGAAAGAATCGACTAGGTTGGGTCCACCAAGCACCACTGCAACCAGCAGCTATTTACAGACGAGTGTTGCCAGTTGACTTAATAATAATAATAATTACCAGTTTATATTGCAACACTTTAAACCTTATTCTGACTGCCAATACGGCTTAGCTCTCACCAATATCTACATCAAGCAACAGTGTAGCCTAAGATCATAAAATGGTGGGGGGAAAAAACCCCACACAATCAAGAGATGTGGACACACAATGTGACCAAACTGACATGTCTGTTTCATTTGGCACCAATGTATCTTACTGGTACTTATGGACCAGTGTGAGCAGCAAAAAACATTCTTCTATTCTGAACTACCAAACAAATTGGCCTCAACGGTCTAAACCAACAAGAAAGTAGACTTTTTATACAAGTGTTTCTTGGCCAAAGCCCATACAAAGTACCATCACCTTGGAAAAAATACCTGAAATTACAACTTGTGTACAGCACTTTTACTCAACATTTTCATTTAACTGAACTGAATGTGAAATGATCCAGCCCTGTTACACTGACAGTAGCCCTTAGGTGAAATAGCTTTCATCAAGTAACAGTGGTATGGCCTCACTACAACCAAACCAACCAAATGTATTTTAAGTATTCAACAGTGAGATAATGCACACTATTTTTGTCACGGTTGACAACCCATAATGTAAATGAACCTTCCACATAAATGAATAACTTCTTTGTTCACAACACTTGTCTATTGTACAGAAACACATCGTCTAAATTAAAACTGCTTTATTTGGGCCAGCAATAAGTGAACAGGGCTATTTTACAAGGTCATCAGTCTCGCTTTCACTTCAAAGCCAAGCAAGTCCAGCTACTGAAACACAAATTCTCAGTTTAAATTTACAGTTCAGGTATTTAAATACTTCATATTTTCAGTCCTGAGTTTTTTGGCACTGTTTACCTAATGTCCATAGAGGCACAAATCTGAACCTTGCAGAGCCTACACAATCAACCACCACACTGTGATGGCACACGAGTACATGGGTCAAACAAGAACCTACCAGAAGTAAGGGCCAGCCAGCTGCATGCTTAGTGTTGTACAGTGTACAAAAGACATGAGTACACCCCTGTGCAAAATTACCTAGATATCAAAATGACTCAACACTGTATTACCTGATAATAATTGCATCACTTCTATGTTAAACAGGAGGCTATTTGCATTTATGTGAAAAAAAAAAAATGACAGAATCGATCGACCTCCTTGGTAAGGAGAATACCACATTTCTGGAGAGATGTTCTATTGTTCTTCAGAGAACTTGCTGGAAGGGTTGTGTTGTGTTTCATTGTCAGGACTATGCATTCACTCTAGTAGTCATAGCTAGGTATACACCAAACATGCTGGACCTCGTCTGAATAAAACAAATTCACGAATGTACTCCCAATATTCATCAGGTTTCTTTTTGTTTTCTTTGGCAAATTTTAATCTTGTAGTTTTTTTCCCCTAAACAGCAAGCAAATTTTTTGTTTTTGGTTACAGTCCATTGAGGCTGACATTACCCACTGTCGTTCAGACTGTCTCAGCTGTTACAATAACTTCAATTTCCACCAATAACCCCTGTGGTAAGTCTAAAGCAGTGGCCCGTCTAATTTTTCAGAGCTAGATCCTACTGTCAGTGGTGTCCTTTTAGGAGGATGACCACTACAGCTCTGATTAGTAGCACGATGGTTCATTGTATACCCAAATTACTACTGCAACTGTGGTTCTATTTATTCTGGTACTTCCTGTACCCTTTTTCATGTTTGTGAACTCTCATAATTAGATTTTTCAATTCCATTGGCAATTCTTTTTCATGTAAAACTATGATGCAGACATGCAGTTAAGTTTTGGTCATTTTATGGCCATGTTCATGCAATTAGGCGTTTTGGAAATCACAGGTTTTTCAACTTGTGTCAGTGATTGACTTTGAGGCCTGTATTTTTAAGTTTTTCTAAAGAGTTTGTTTTGACTTGTTCATAAGAGGAAATATTCCACTTGTCAACTTAAAAAAAAAATAAATGCAATTGCTGATGTTGCTTGGGAATGCACTCACTTCTGTTGTATACTGAATATGTTGTGATACTGGCCACCCTCTCATATGCCATTCCAGTACGGATCAAGTTAAGTACATAAAATAATAAAATAGAAATAAATAGTAAATAAATACAACATTTGATTATGCTTAGTCTGTCTAAGGACCGAGTCACTTAATAGAGAAAAGCCACTTTTTGGCAAAAGAAATGGGAATTTTGATGAACTGACATTTAAAAAGCAATCGTGTAACCTAGAACCCAATTCTGGGTTAACAGACATGCAGAGTTAAGAGTCAGAAATGATTTGCAGTGTGTAAAAACTGCATAATGCAGCCATGACAGACAGCTTGCATGCCCAGAGCACACATTGTGAATAAATAATCAGGAATTGATTTGGCTTTACATCAAATAAAAAATTGGAAAGCAAGACAAAAAAATGTTTAGCAGGCACCAAGGTGGTGTGCACTCTTAACCACATAAGTACATCAAGTGTACTTATTGTGGCAACAGGGGCTGTTTGTGAAGTGCTTCTTTCTCTAAATTGTGGCGAAGCAATGGATTGGTAGAATTCAGCCCAATTGGCCCATTTGGCACATACTTAAATTGTTTCGTGATTACTCAATAGCTTCTGCATGTCCTGCTAAGTGATCAAAGGTATGCGACTCTTTAATTATAATTACACTGAAAAATAAGTCACACTCTTTGTCTGTACCATTTGGTGGGCAAATCTGATAACAGTCTAAGCACATCTGATGATCTATGTGAAAGGGAAGCAGCACAGACTCGCAAATGAAACCAGACTTAAGCTCATGTTTCTTTAACTTGCCAAGTAAGAGTTGTTCAACAATGCTGACTTTACAGCCTAGTCCAATGAAAATATTGCTTTCAGACTGTTGAATTAAGTCTTTTCTACACCTTGTATAACTTTACAAAAAAAAAAAAAAAACACATACACACACAGCAGATACATGCTAATATACATAATAGCTTAGTTTGTTCATTGTATGTAGGTGCCCTGATATGCCAGTAAAATGGCCTACAAACCAAAGCCTACAAAAATGGCTGAAACTTTAACACCTCATAGATGCGGCAACAACCATAGTAGACACTATTCTTAAAGTTATTTTATTTGTAAAATGTTTAATAAAAGTGAATTAATGTGCCCTTGAGAGCTCAGACATTGGTGTACAGGGCTAATTTAAATAGTTTGGGCTATCATCAAGTCCTACAAAATGGCAATTTGCCAAAATACCACTGACACCAATCTCTAAGTAAGCAGTATGTATAATAAAAAAGATCAGTCTTCATCTATCTGGTCATTGTGGATAATACTGTAAGGAATAATGTTTATTAATAGTTTTGTTTTCACTACAAGAAAAGAGACAGAATTTAACAGGTGGTGTGACAGGTAACATTTTATAAATATAATTTCTTTTTTTTAATTAGGTAGGATTGGCTTTTTTTTTTCTTTTTTTTTTTTTTCAAAGTCAAGTTGATGTAAGCCTTTCATTACCTTGACCAAGAGAAGCCGCAATGAAGATGCTATCATTATCTAAATTCTGTTCTAAAAACATGTTTCAGAGTTGTGTACTTTTAGTGAATAAGCTGATGCCGTTTGGTGTGTGATTCACTGGAGCGCCCCTACATGGAAGAGGCCTCTTGACAGTCGGACTGAAGGAAGCAAGAGCTAGGTTGTAATAAATCTATTCTTTATACACTAACTGATCACCCAGACCTAATCTTACAAAAATCTACAGATGCACCACATCTGGACTAATCATTCAGAGAGTAAGCTTGCTAACTCTAAGTCACACAGCAAATGTCTAACGATCCTTACTCCGTTACGTAACACCCTTCACTAGGCTCATTTTACGCATCATTGGAATAAAACAGAGTCCTAACTCAAATGAGATGTAGAGGCTCTAATTATAACTTCAAGATTCAAAATAGCTAGACTTTCTCTATCACTATTTAATTTCTCCAATGATGTTAACCACATAGCTGCTCTTAAATCTCGCTTGGAGAGAGCACAGGGAGACAGAGAGAAATTAGGTGAAGGAATTTGTCTTAGGTACAGGCTTAGTACCAACACTGCCAGGGTTTAGGTTTCATTTTGCACTGGAGCCATCTTTAAAATGTCCTCACTCTAGCACTGTAAGGCGCATAAATGTCTCGAACCTGGACTGAGAGTCACAGACAAGATGGTAAGGCAGCACAAAGGTTTCCTGTCAGAGTTAACAGCAACAGATTTCTCTAATCTCTCCCTTTCTCCCTCCTGACTTAGCACCAGCTAAATCTGTTAGCTGTTGATGATTTATAATCATCCCCCCTGTCACCTCTTGAACTCTTTGCTATCAAAATGTCTTCATTTTTAAAGCATGCTATTCCTGTCAGCCCCACAACTTCCTTTTGTTTTTGTTTTTTCTCTCCCTCCTTTATTCTCTTAAACAAGGCGAGGAGAAGGAGGAGAACTTTCTAAAACTTGTAGGCAGTCAGACCTGGAGTTGGCTGCTGTTGCTGGGTCAACGTGGCTGCCATGGCAACAGCTGCAGCATTGGGCACACTGGAGAATGGGGCGGGCCCCGTTGTGACTCGCGGCGCACTCTGCCATTTCCTGTTCGATGCTCGTTTGGACTCAAAGACGTCAGTGGAGTCTTCTAGGAAGGCTCTCCGGTAGGAAAGGTACTGGTGCTTCAAAATCTGTTACAGAAGATATTAACACGGGTAAAAACAAACAAAATAAATTAACATGCTGTTAACACAAAAACAAACTTATGTCTAATATGTTTAGGTTGAATTACAAATTGCCCAATAAATGGACAAATTCAACAAAAATATATTGTAAAAGAATAAAAAAGTTATGCCATCACAAAATTCTACATTCACTTGATAAGAGTTTCATCACACAGTTCTAAACATTATATAGTATTTCAAACAATACAATGCTCATAAGAATATTTTGTAGTTTTGAGACAAAGCTGGAAGGGAGAAAAAGAAAAAAACAAAAACACTGACCTTGACATTCTCATGGACAGACTGGAGCTGGGCAGCCTGTGCAACAAATGTTTGGTACAACTTCTGCATGGCCAAAGTCAAATCTGCAAACAAAAACAAACAATATTACAGTTTATGTGTATATCTGACATATTTTATTTCGAAAATGGAGAAAAAATAGTGCAATACATAGGTGATAGGTGAGAAACAATACTGGCGCATAATATTCACACAGAAGCATGTTTTCAGATTTTAGTGAGTGTTTCTCTTGGCTTTTAAACAGATATGTAGCTTGTTGTTGAATTGTGAGGTTTCACGTTGACAGCAACCAGCTTTAATGTTAATATAACACATAACAATTAACGCTGACTTAAAACCTGAACATGACCAGAGATGTGCTAAAAGTCAGACAAATGTTTTCTTACCCTGAGGAGTGATGTGGGAGCCACTGCTCTGCGTCGTCAGATGGTTTTCCAGTTCTTCTATCTGCTGCCGATATTGTTGCAACTGCACCTCAAACTGCTCTACGAGGCTGCGGAAGTAACTAAACACACACAAAAAAAAAATCCACATATTTTACTATTTGTCCAATTTATCAAGTCCCAAAAGTTGATACATTAAGAACAACTGGTGAAGAAGGTTGGTATTTATTATTGTTTCCAGAACAAACAAGCCCAAAAAATAAAGCAAATTTCAACAAGTTCCAAAATGTATAGTATAAATCAGAGGGTTAGATAGATTAAGTAGTCTCTTTGCATTAGTACACAGCCACCTTTGATTTGCTTCAGGAAAAGTTTACTTACTCCGATGGTGCTGTGTTCTCGTGTTGAAGTCCAGGCGGTGTCTTCTGTGTACGCAATGCGATGTCCGCATTTTTCAGCTCCTGAAGCAGAAGGGAAAGAGAAAAGTCAAATATTAAAGGCAGATTATATTACATATGGAAAGGATTGTTTTTCACATTTTCAGTTCATGAGATATGTGTAACAAAAACAGCTAAAATCTTGATAATTAAGGCTGGAGTACAGGACGTTTACATGCAAAGGGCTGTCAGTTACATTCAAGCCCCTGTCAAACTCTCACAATGCTGATTAAACCTATCAGCATCACACAAGTCTGTCTGAACTTCACAGTATATCAGAGTTTTGAATCTGGTTTCTGTGGTGACATTCCCATAGCTACCACTGGTAACTAGAAGCTTTACAGTGCTGATTGCAAAAGAACTTTACATACATGCAATATATGCATCCACTCATCACAAATGTCATTTGTTTGTCTTTGCTGAATTTGAGGAAGCCAAATGTTCATTGTAATGTACAAGTCATAACTTGCTGATCATAAAATGGAAAGCAGATTTATGGCTATATAAAATATGTGCATCATGGGGGGAAAAAAAAGACTTGAACATGGAATGTGAACCAACTTTACTTCCAACACTATGGCTTGTGTGCAAGTGTCCTGCTTTTACCTGTGCTGTCTCCAGCTTTAGTTTGTCAATAGCCAGAGCTTGGCGCTGTAGACCGCTGGCACTGACAGAGAGCAGCTGTTTAAGGTTCTTGATGTCATCTTGGACTTTAGAAATGGCTTTTGATGACATCCTGCTTATGTCCTCCTGAACTTGTTTCTGCTCTTTCACAAATTTTCTGCAAAAGAAGGTAGCAAGGACTTTAAGGACAGAAATTGTTTCAAGATGATGTAAAAGCTCTATGACTGATTTGGTAACATATTAAGTGTTTTTACATTATTATTTCAATTAATTGTTTAAAATGTGTATTTCATAAAGTAATTGTTTTGCTTTATCTGAGTTTGTTTGTTGTATACTGCTACATTTAATCCAATGCCATAACGTACACAAGTACAACACTTACTGAAAATTTTCCACATCCTGACAAATAACTGGGGGCAGGTTCTCATCTTTTAAAGCTTTACTGTCCCTGAAGGAGAGAAAAGGAGAGTGGTGTTGATCAGTACAACAAAGTGAAAGAAAACAGCTGTAAACAGGACTTTACACTTTTTTGCATTATAGCACGGGTGTCGAATCCTGGTCCTCGAGGGCCGCAATCCTGCATGTTTTAGATGTTTCCCTCTTCCAGCACACCTGATTCAAATGATCAGGATCGTTACCAGGCTCCTGCAGAGCTTGATGATGAGCTGATCATTTGAATCAGGTGTGTTGGAAGAGGGAAACATCTAAAACATGCAGGATTGCGGCCCTCGAGGACCAGGATTCGACACCCCTGCATTATAGAATTGACAGTTATGTACAGCTATTCTACCATTTCCATATAATAAAGAATAATGCATATGTTGTTCAGCAGGTCGTACTGTGCATTGGCTCCAGACGATGTGTCGCTCTTGTGCTCAGAGGATGTACTGAAGTCGACTCCACCCAAGCCCATACTTGGGGCAGGGGCTGCCGATACTGCTGTGGACGTTGCCAACAGGGAACCTAACGTTAATCCGCCCCCTGCTCCAAGAGTGGTTTGACCCAAACCTGCAAAGCCAAGCAGGCATATAGGTTATAACGCTGCACAACAACTTTGCATTGACACATTTGTACAAATCCTTAATCATCATTACTTCTTCTGTGTAGATGTAGCCTTGTCATAGGGTTTGTCTTTGCAATAAATTCTTAAGTATATATAAATTGTATAAAAACATCTTGCCATTGAGCCCAGAGCACTGAGTCTGCACACCATCCTGTGCAAACTACTTGTGTGCGTGGAAAGGCTCAGGCTGTCTGTTTGCATCTCACCTGTAGACACATTGCTAGAGAAGAGACTCCCACCCAGTGATGGGCCCGGTACGGCTGCTGTGGTGGTTGTTGAGCTACCAAGACCAAGAGTGAAGCCCGTGGCTGCAGGCTGCTGGGGGGCTGTAGATGTCAGGACAGAGCCAAACGTTAAACCTGCCCCAGGAGGGGCTGTCGAGGAGGTGGTAGTGGTGGTGAGGGAGAAGGGTGTTGCTGAGGCAGTGGGCTTGTTGAAGGCCAAGCTAAAGCCAGTGGTAGCGGTAGTAGCTGGGGCACCTTAGAGAAAGTATATGTCCAAACAAATTGAAGGTTATTATCAGTTCCATTAATTTCTCGAAATCTTACTTTAAAAAACATCCCAGAAACAGAAACATACCTAATGTGAGGCCTGCAGTGGGCACAACAGCACCTGAAAGAGAATAACATCCCAACATTAGACATGATGTATGGCTGCAGCTGACAGACATGTTAATGACAAACAAATTTATTCGACTGCTTGCCAGCAAGTGTATTTTGCTTGTGTGTGATGTCATTACTTGAGGCAGGTGTATTGAAAGAGAATCCTCCAGTAGCTTTCTGAGTAAAGAGACTGCCTCCTAGGCCTCCTAGAGCCGGGGTGGTGCTGGTGGTGGAAGCAGGGGCTGCAGCGGCTGTACCCAGAGCAGTCCCGAAAGAGAAGCCACCGGTACTGGCCGCAGGTGCACTGAAGAGGAAAAAAACAATAATGTCAGTCACATAATCACAGTTCATCAATGATACACGTTATGTGGGAAACTACGTAAGGAGGAACAATCCATCATTGACTCAGTAATGCATTCTAACAGTGTTTTGCTGCTAGAGCGTCCTTTAACTACAATAGAAAGGGGTTGTATTTTTCTTAGCAAGTTGTTAAAAAAATACACATTTAAAAATAACAAATGTGAAAAGTGACTTAAAGATTATGATAAATAAAGTTAAATTCAAATGATATTTTTTAAAAATAGTCATAATTATTTTTTGTTCAAATGACAAGTCCTCATATATTTTGTTACCATACACATCATAATTGTTATAAATATCCCCAACACTGCAGATCATCATCTAAACCTCTAGTTTGCAAGAGTTAGCTCTGGTAGATCAAAGTTAAACTTGTTATACTAAGAAGAATGCCACACCAACATGTGACACTGGTCATCAGGACAAGCCACATGTGCAGACCACAGCTTTGAACATAATTATAAAAGTCTCCATCACCACAAGAATGTGTTTTGGTCATTGCCAGTTCCCTTGGAAGACTATTTTCAAATTACTCTGCAAAAGTAGAAGGTTTATCTAAGCTCACATAAAATCTGTGACTTTACATCTAGTTTGGAAGGCAGTCCTGCTCCAAGAGACAACTTACCCAACTATGAGATGGGAACTAACACAGTGTGAATACTTTGTGAAGAGTCTTCCAGTGATGTTGAAGACATCTTGCATTAAGTAATTAACCTTTTGGAGTTAAATATACATGCACAGTGATAACTTTTGGAGGTGTTGGTGTAATTTTAAGTTTCTAACCAAGTAGCTTTAACTACTACTGCACGTCAGACACACATTATTTTTTTAAAGCAGTCATTTCATAAATGCCTGAAGGGGTGCCTTAGGAATCTCTCAAAGAACAATCTTCCATCTCTAATTAGTATCCAGTTCACTACAATGTACAAAGTCTAGGGATGTTATAAAGTCATCGAAGTGCTGTTGCCGGCTAACGCCAGGTTACCCCCGGCTATGCTAACGTTAGCTAAGTCGGCTATTTGAAAGTTGTCATTACCTGGCTGCGGCACCAAATGCGAATCCTCCGCCAGTGTTGGCGGAGCCAAGAGTTCCCGATCCAAAGTTAAAGCCAGACATTTTCTCTTAAGAGGCAAACATTCACCGTCAACTGACGAACAACCCAGCATCACAGCTAACACGACGGTTAGCTTTGATGCCCGCGTGAGGGCCAAATCCGCTTTTTTGTTTTCACTCAAAACATACTCGGACAATAAACTCTTTAAATAAATCCGGGTCAACCCTACTGCAGTCGGTTACGTTCTCGCAACCTCTTATTTTGTATTTAGATTTTTAAGCCCGTGAAATATCTCAGGACTGATTCTCGCATGGTGTTACTTTTCTTATTCCCCGCCTGGTATTTCCTGGATGCTAGTGCATTTCGGGTAATCTTTTTTTTTTTTTTTTTTTTAATCAACTCCGTTTCCCGTCGTCCCCCGCAGTTGTTGCGTCGCGTGATGCCACACGCATGCGCACGGCACCAACTTTGGGGCTGACGGCGTACGTTTTCACATTCGACCATTTTGACAATAGACCACAAATTAAATCCGGCCTTGATTTCTAAATAAAAGAGACAGTCCATACTGATATATGATGGATGAATAGATCAGGCAGCATACGGTATTTGCAAAATGAAGCACAAACTAAACACAGTCTACACAATCGTAAATACTTTAGCATTTTGTTGCAAACTTGTCATTATCTTAACATATGGATTATCAACATGAGCATGATCGCTAACTCCTCGTACCCTCAGGGCCATGAAATTCAAAGGTTAACTGTGCCTGAACTAGTTTGTGATAATCCAACTCATGTCCAAAAGTTTCAAAAGCACTCCCACACATTGTCCAAAGTGCAAAAATGCATTTATTTGCAAATTAAATATTAGCCCTTCAACAATTGAAAATGTGAACTGATGATTGTGCTCTTTTATCTGTGTAAGCATTAATCTTGCAGGGATTCTGACGGCTGAGATGCCGACTGTATTTACATATTGTCCTGGGGAGGGTCCTGAGTAAATTATTGTTGATGTGAAACCTTCCTTTTTTGCTGTTTCATGTTATCTTATTGTTTTTTTGTATTCTGGGGAATGTCTTTACTGAAATTGTAGGTTCATCTACATATGCAAACTGTAAATCTTTAAAAAATAAATAAATAAATAAATAAAATTATGCAGTTTTAGCTAATGGTTAATGGTTTAAAGCATTCTTTTTACAGAATTTTATAGATTTTACATACATTTTCTGCAAGTTATTAAAAGTTATTATTCAGTGGGATGATGTTATTGTAACTTTCATTTAATTTTACAGTTAAAGGTAATGACACAGCTTTCAGCTAGCAGCTAATTTACATCAGTTATCCCTCAACATCCATCCATCCATCCATTCATTATCTATACACCGCTTAATCGGTGGGGGGGTGCTGCGAGGCAACAGTGCTACCAACCTTGCAGCCCTGTCCCTCAACAGGCACACAAAAAACGCACGGAACAATTAGCACACTATAAAAAACAACCAAATACATACATATTCATGACAGTGAAAAAGCAAATGCAATAAATACAACATAATAAATAATTTAGCTACAATTAATCCAAGATGGCCTCTCCTTGTACCAAACCATTTGCCTGATAAAGTCCTAAAACTGAAATAAATGTATTTGTGCAAGCGAAGCAGTGTCTTTTTGAAACTTATGGATTTAACAGTCACTTCTGTTATGCACCTGTCTTGTGAAATAGATGCCCAAATGAAATGTATTACCTTAAAATCTGTTTCATAGTATATGCACTATAATGCACCTTAAATAATACACAGCAAAATAACAATGCTTACATTAATATTCAATTTAATCTTGAGGACCCATGTTGTTGAGGAGCTCTGAGTGAAAAATCTATTTGTAAGCCACAGTCTAGGGAGAAAAAAATACTATATAGAAATCCTGAGAAGTGGGTTAAACGTTTCCTTTAAGCGGCGACATAACTGGTGCTCTTATTTTGAAAGCCCACCACCCATGTGATTTCCGTGGACTTGACGCGGATGGAGGGGTGAAATAATTGACAATAAACACTTATCGTATGCCACCGAAAAAGTCAAGGCGGTTTGTGCTGCCGTGGAAGCCGTGATATTATCAATGATACAGTTATCCTGGGAAGGCGTCGTCTGAAGCTTTGCGGTCGCTGACAGCTGTTTGGACTCGGAGAAATGGAGCATATCCGAACGCCAAAGGTAGCTAACATTTCTTGCTAATTGCAAATGGATGGGACACAGTCAGCAACTCGGCCTAGTCATCTTTGGAGGGGTTTTGTAATGCTAAAGTGCGGCTGCTACATGTCGGTGTTCGGACTAAATTGTGTGCGGGTCGGTGTGATAGCATGGAGGCTAGCAGGTGTCTCCAAGTGTCAGACGTGACGAGCATCAATGAGCTGTTTGTCTTTCGTGTACAGCGCATAGCTGGGTTTCCTCGGTGTAATGCTACTATCTGCACGCCCTGCTTTGGATTTATGATGAGTTAACGTTACACTACCGAGCTAACCGGTGAATACAGCGTGAGTAAAGCACCGCAGCTGCATTTTAACACCAGCGGCAAATTGGTGGATTCATCAGACACACTGTAGGACTGGCATTAGTTTTATTATAGTCCTAAAAAAAAAAAAAAAAGTGTCATCCAGCAAACATGCATTGCCAAATAGTGGATTGTTTTGGATTGGACTGGATTTTGGCACTTACAGAGGACCTGGATTAGCGTACATTTCACTAAACAAGCAACAACTGGGGAGTGCTGTAGTACAGGTTTACCTCTGTCAGGCCTGTACTGCTAGAAAAGATCCCAAGTGGCCTGTGGGTGTGGGTTGTACACTTCAGAAAGCCGTTGATTAAATAACTAACTACCAAACTAAACCCTAACCCAAACCATAAATGTGAGAGATCACATATTAAATGTGGCGGTGCACATTCATAGTGGACTAGTTATTGACTTGGCTCACTATTGAATCTGATATTTAGGTTTTTATTCTGATTATCTGTATCTTTTTATTTTCTGTGATGCAGACACCTCTCTCTGTCTGTAGTCACCACTGTGTTTGTGATCTCCACTAATGTCCCGCCCACAGCACGATCTGATAAGTGACATGTCACGAGTAACCGCCTATCAGCACTGAAGGATAAATGTCCAAAACTTTGCTTTTAAAAATGTAAAAATATGTAAAACATAAGTAAGCAAATCAGTTTCAGCACAGAATTATGTCAGAGTTTGTTGTTATTCTAAAGTTTGACACAGAGGTTTCCATTTTTCCTGCAAATGCACGAGTATGTTGGTTTCAAATATTACTTATTGGTCTCCTTTTTTTCCGTAATCGGTGTTTGTGTCGACCCTGAAAGAACCATGTCAGTCGACTCAGAGTGCACACTTTCAAATTAATGCTAAAAGTCAGACAGCTTTTACTGTTTATCTCAAATCCAATAGACTGTCATGCAGAGGTAGCGTAGCAAAATGTACAAATACACATGGACTGCACTGTTTATGATTTAGATGGTATTCTTTTGGCGTCAACCAGTCAAACCTCTTCTACAGAAGCCTCGTTGGCTCATAGGATAGGGACTAATTAGGCCTCATTGTAAATTTTTTACAGTGTGTATATTTAAAGATGAGCTGTGTTTCATCATTTTAGGCAGCAGTGTGACACAATTTCTGCGGGTTTGGGATAATCATACATTAAAGCAAAGTGCACACAATTGGCGGCAAGTTTGTCAGCGGATTAAAGAAATGCCAGGATGGGGTGGGTGTGATTGCATGCAGACTGGGTGTGTCCCCACAGTCTCAAGTCCTCTTGGTTGTTTGCTTAAATAAAACAGCAGAAGAGGGCATTATTGCTGTTGTTTAAAAAAAAAAAAAAAAAAACTAACATAGAGGATTGTGTTGGATAATCATTTTTGAGTCAAATTCACGATGTGGTCCATCAGAGATTCTGCTGTGGAAAAAAAAGTATGCAATCTTCAAGCAATGCAGTGCTTGCTGTATTTAGATTGCTTTATATGATGGCACAGATTGCATAATTAGCCTACAAAAAACACAAACAATCACATCATTCCTGTGAGAGAGTATGAGATGTTCCTCCTTTTGTTTCCTCCTGCGCTAACTCACCGGTTTACTCTCGCACTCCGCTGACTTCCCGTATATTCTAAGAAGCCTTCTTACGACAGAGCCGTGACCCGCTGGTTGCTGGGAGACGGAACCCCGGCTCAATCATTTTATCATATCTGTGAGCAACAGGAAAACGGAAACACCGAAGAGGATGCCTGAGTCAACAAGAGAGCATCGAGTGTGATGAATCATGAATTTAGCGCTGGCACAAGAAAACAATCTAGTACCAACAGTCTAATAGCCTTTTTAGTAATAGTCTGCGGTTGATTAGTGTTGTCATGTATATTTTTCAATGAGAGTTTCACCTTTAATTCTAGTTTACCTCCATGATGGAAAGAGAACTGACAGGGATGCAGCAGTACTGGCTTATGCACACAAAGTCAGTCAGCTATATTGTCCAGCAGCTTCTTAGAATCCACATGTGGGAACCATCTCATATATTTTTTACAAAGAAGTTAGGATGCTAGACAAGGTTCCAAGTTTTCTTGGCTGGGGTGTTTTTTCTGCCTGACTAAATGTAACGTTGTGGTAAAACCTGTTGTTTATTACAGCTAGTGGAACACAACCTTCATCCTGTGTGAAAACCTGTGACTTGAGTAAATATTCTACTCACAGTATCTACTGTATGTGCATTTTCTGCTAGTGGGGGAGGTGGGTACAGGAATCATTGCAGGAACACTACAAGACTACATCTTTGCATAATGCATATACAGAATGTGAATACAAGTGAGATTTTTTTTAACGGAAAGATTTGTTAAAGGCAAGCGGCAGGGGTTTCATTTATTATATTTGCAACATTTCTCTGTCACAGCCATCATTAGACTTTTTTTTCTCGTGCCTAGAAATCACTTGTGACTCCAAATATAATGGAACTGGCAGCCGATGGCGAGGGCCAGGTGGTCAGTATTAGGTGGTGTGCCAGCTGGAACCAGTGCTGCTTACAGTGTTTTTTTTTTTAACTTTTCTGGCAGGTGTTATTCCTGTTGGCAAGCTCACATCGCTCTTGGTTTCAGTCAGTGTTATTTACACCCAAGCACTGAGGCAAACCTTGCCGCTGACTCTTGATTGATTCGTTATGATTGGTATGTCTTTGCAGGTGGAGCAGGTGCGGCTGGTGGATCGCTTCAGCAGCAAGTCCACAAACGGCACCCTGTACCTCACAGCCACCCATCTCATCTTCGTGGAGAGCGGCTCCAACAACTCGACCTCTGCTGGACAGG